CCCCCCCCCTCCTCCATCCCCCCCAGGCTCCAAGGACCCGTGTGCGGAGGTGAGCTGCAGCTTCGGCAGCACCTGTGTCCCCTCCCCCGACGGCCAGGGCGCCCGGTGCGTGTGTCCCTCGTCGTGTGGCAGCGTCCCCGAGAGCCCCGTGTGCGGCAGCGACGGCCGTGACTACCGCAGCCTCTGCCACCTCCACAAACACGCCTGCGACAAGCAGGAGAACGTCTTCAAGAAGTTCGACGGCCCCTGTGGTGAGGGAGGGGTTAAAGGAGCCGGGGGTGAAGGGGTTAAAAAGTTGGGGGTGGTTGGTGGGGGTGGGGGGGATGAGAGGTGAGGAGGGGATTGGGTGGGGAAAGGGGGGCGGGGGGTGGGCAGGGAAAGGGTGGGGTGGGCACGGACTGGGCAGTGAATGGTCACTCTAGGGGGTAAATGGTCAGACTGGGCAGTGAATGGTCAGTCCAGGGGGTAAAAGGTCACTCTGTGTGTTAAAAGGTCATTTTGGGCAGGAAAAGGTCACCCTAAGCAGTAAAAGGTCACTCTGGGTTGTGAATGGTCAGTCTGGATGGTAAAAGGTCACTCTAGGTGGTAAAAGGTCACTCTGAGCAGTAAATGGTCATTCTGGGTTGTGAATGGTCAGTTTTGGTAGTAAAAGGTCACTCTGGGCAGTAAAAGGTCACTCTGGGCAGTAAAAGGTCACTCTGGGTTGTGAATGGTCAGTCTGGGTGGTAAAAGGTCACTCTGGTGTTAAAAGGTCATTTTGGGCAGGAAAAGGTCACTGTAGGTACTGAATGGTCACTCTGGGCAGTGAATGGTCACTCTGGGCACCAAAAGGTCATCCCAAACAGCTCCTGGGATTGAAACATCTGGAATTAAAGCATCCCAAACAGCTCCTGGGATTGAAACATCTGGAATCACAGCATCCCAATGGGATTAAAAACATCTGGAACTAAAGCATCCCAAACAGCTCCTGGATTGGAATATCTGGAATCAGATCTCGGAATCAGAGCATCCCAAACAGCTCCTGGAATTAAAACATTTGGAATTAAAGCATCCCAAACAGATCCTGGAGAGGTGTGAGGGCAGCTCAGGATGGAGGAAAAGCCGAGTTTAACCCTTTGTTAGGAACCTCAGTGAGGAAAGAGTCCCTAGGGGAATAAAGAAGCTTTGGGGCGCTCTTGGTGCCATGCAGGGCTGGAGCAGAACCTGAAAAGCCCCAATTTAGGCTGGGATTAACTCTGTGCTCGTTTCCCAGACCCTTGCAGGGGTGTGTCGGTGGATCAGAGCCGGGTTTGCCGGGCAGAGCTGCTGATTTAAGCCGGGATTAACTCTGTGCTCGTTTCCCAGACCCTTGCAGGGGTGTGTCGGTGGATCAGGGCCGGGTTTGCCGGGTGAACCCCCGGACCCGGCGGGTGGAGCTGCTGCCCCGGCCCGAGGGGTGTCCCCCCAGCACGGAGCCCGTGTGCGGTGACGATGGTGTCACCTACAGCAGCGAGTGCGTCCTGGGCCGCTCGGCCGCCATCCGGGGCATGGACATCCAGAAAGTGCGCTCGGGGCAGTGCCAGCCACAGGGTGAGTGCATCGTCATCATCACCTTCCTCATCCTCTTCCTCCTCTTCTTTCTTCCTCCTCTTCTTCTTCCCCTTCCTCCTTTTCATCCTCCTGTTCCTCCTCTTGTTCCTGTTCCTCCTCCTCTTTCCCTTCCCCCTTTTCACCTTCCTCCTCCTGTTCCTGTTCCTGTTCCTCTTCCTCCTCCTCTTCCTCTGTCAGAGCATCCCCTCCATGCCTAAAGAGGGTACCTGGGCAGAGTTAAAGGAATAAAGTAGGGATTTATTAAAAGGGATTTAAGAAAAAAAAGTGTTTAGGTATTAAAAAGGTATTTAGGTAGGTAGATATATTACAAAGCCTTCCAAGGCATCATTTGACCCAAGGAATCATTTCCCCCATCAGTGTAAACCCTAAACCCCAAAGCAGGACCCTCACCCCCATCAATATAAAAATTAAACCCAAGGCATCATTTAACCCAAGGCATCATTTCCCCCCACCAGTATAAACCCTAAACCCCAAAGCAGGACCCTCACCCCCATCAACATAAAAACTAAAACCCAAGGCATCATTTAACCCAAGGCATCATTTCCCCTCACCAATAGAAACCTTAAACCCCAAAGCAAGACTCTCACCCCCATCAGTATAAAACCAAACCCCAAGGCATCATTTCCCCTCACCAACATAAACCCTAAACCCCAAGACACGACCCTCACCACCATCAATATAAAAATTAAACCCCAAAGCAAGACCCTCACCCCTACCAATATAAAAACCAAACCCCAAGGCAGGACCCTCACCCCCATCAATATAAAAATTAAACCCAAGGCAGGACCCTCACCCCATCCATCCCCCGTGCCCAGGGTGGGTGTGAGCCCGCTGTCGCTGTCCGTGTCCCCACGCAGACCAGTGCCAGGACGAGTGCCAGTTCCACGCCGTGTGCCTGAACCGGCGCGGGGCCGCTCGCTGCTCCTGTGACCGCATCTCGTGTGACGGCGCCTTCCGGCCGCTGTGCGGGCAGGACGGGCGCAGCTACGGCAGCGACTGCGAGCGGCGCAGGGCGGAGTGCGAGCGCCAGCAGCACATCGGCGTCAGACACAGCGGGCCCTGCGGTGAGGGACAGGGGACACGGCGGGGACACCGCGGGGACACGGCGGGGACACCGGGGAGGATGGTCACAGCGGGGTGGGGAGTGCCCGGATTGTCCCGTAGGGATGGGGGTCCCCAAATCGTCCCACGGGGATGGTGCCCCATAGGGATGGTGGTTCCCAAATTGTCCCACGGGGATGGTGGTTCCCAAATTGTCCCACAGAGATGCTGTCCCATAGGGATGGGGATCCCCAAATTGTCCCACGGGAATGGTGGATCCCAAATTGTCCCACAGGGATGGGGGTCCCCAAATCGTCCCACGGGGATGGTGCCCCATAGGGATGGTGGTTCTCAAATTGTCCCATAGGGATGGGAGTCTCCAGATTGTTCCATGGGGATGGTGGTCTCCAAATTGTCCCATAGGGGTGAGGGGTCCCCAGATTGTCCCATAGGGATTGGAGTCTCCAGATTGTCCCATGGGGTTGGGGGTCCCCAGATTGTCCCATGGGGATGGTGTCTTATGGGGATGTCGGTCCCCAAATTGTCCCAGGGAGCTGGGGAGTGCCCAAACTGTCCCATGGGGATGGTGGTCTCCGAATTGTCCCATAGGGATGGGGGTCTCCAGATTGTCCCGTGGGGATGCTGTCCTATGGGAATGATGGCCCCCAAATCTTCCCATGAGGGTGCTGGTCCCCAAATTGTCTCACAGGGATGTCAGTCCCCAAATTGACCCGTGGGGCTGCTGTCCCTGGGTCCGTGTTTCTGTCCCCGGGTCCGTGTTTCTGTCCCTGGGTCCGTGTTTGTTTCTGTCCTTGGTTCTGTGTTTTTACCCCTGGGTCCGTGTTTCTGTCCCTGGGTCCGTGTTTCTGTCCCCGGGTCCGTGTTTGTTTCTGTCCTTGCAGCCAGCCCGGTGTGTGCTGTCGTGTCTCTGTCTGCTGGGTGACACTGGGGACACTCCTCTGTGTCTCAGCTCGCTGTCTGTGACATCCTGCTGGTTTCTCTCACTCCCCGACCCCATTCCCTTCCATCCATGCCATCCATCGCTGCTCCCAGGGTAGTGCCAGTCTCCAAACCCTCCCCTGCCTGCCTGCTGCTCTCAGCTCTCACCAGGATCTCTCCTCTCCTCTCCCCTCTGTGCTGTCTCTGGAGCTCTCACTGTGTCTTTGTCTCGTCTCCAGGAGAATTCCCCATGGACCTTTCCCAGCAGGATGGGATAGGATGGGGCTTTGGATCCTTAGGATGCTGGGAATGCCCAGTTTTAGGATTCTCCCCCAGGAAGTGGAGGAGGTTAAAGCAGCCACTGCACTGGTTTGGATGAGTTACCAGTTGTTTGTTTTTTTCTCTGGAACCGTGTCCTGCTCTTTTCAGCTGAGGTTTTATCGGGTGTCAGCTGGGCTGAGCCTCCTGAAGGGATCACAATCCCACCCTGGGGATGTGTTCTGTTGGCTTTGTGCTCCTGCTGGAACCTTTCGAGGCTGCCAGACCCAGCTGCTGGAAAAGAATTTGCCAGGCTCCCAAAATCCCAGAATAATCACAGCTGTTATTTTTGAATCATCCATTTCCCCGTGTTTCTGCTGGGGGAATGGCTGGGAGTCAATTCCCCAACTTTTCCCTGTGGGAAGAGCTGTGATCCCAAGGTGGTGGGGGGGGGGATTTTTTGGCAGCCCTGGCTCCCTGGTCTCTCTTCAAACCTTCCCCTGTGCCTCCTTGAGAGGCTGAAAATCCCCAGATTTCTGGGATGAGCGGGGAATTCATGCTGCTCCTGTTCCATGGAAGAAGGCCAGGAGCAGCAGGATGTGATCCTGGAGCACCTGCCACTCCTCTCTCCATCTCCCTCTCCTTTATTCCTGCTCCCTCCCTTCCAGGCCAGCACACATCTGCTCCCAGGAGCTGCGTCCTGCTGGGATAGGAGCAAAAAAAACCGGGGGGAATGAATCAAAACCAGGGCTGTGCCTGCCAAAATCTGGGATTGCAGAGTCCCTGTGACAGCTCCAGGCAGCCCTGGAGCCCATCCCCAGGAGGTGGGAGCAGATTTTTTTTATCCCTGTCAGCTCTGGAAAGGAAAAGGAAAAGCTCTGAGCTCGGTGCTGGGTGCTTTGGGAATGCAGAGGATGCAGGAGCTGACCGAGGGCAGGGAATGGGAAGGGCTGGGCAGGATTTTAACCCTTCACGAGCACCTGTCTGACCGAGCCTGAGCTCTCTGCTGCCTTTTCCAGAGAGGCAAAGCCAAACAAAACCACCCAAGCCTTGGTTTGAATCCTTCTCGGTGCTGCAGCTGAGAAAGGAGGGATGGGATGAGGCCAGGAGGGATGGGAGGAATGGAGGAATGGAGGAATGGAGGAAAGGAGGAATGAAGGAATGGGAGGAATGGAGGGATGGAAGAAATGGAGGAATGAAGGAATGGAGGAATGGAGGGATGAAGAAATGGAGGAATGAAGTGTGGAGGAATGGAGGAATGGAGGAATGAAGTGTGGAGGAATGGAGGGATGGAAGGAATGAAGGAATGGAGGAAGGTGTCTGTAGCTGCATCTGTCTTTTCCTCCCTGCCTCTCTCTGCTCTGCTCTCCTCTCTTTTTCTCTCTCTTTCCTGTTTTGTCTGTGTCTTGTGTTTTACAGTGTTGCCTGTGTGGAGGAAGGAATTCTGTCCTGGCCACCCTCCTGCTCCCTGCCCGGACATCTCAGCTGGGAGCTCGGCTCTCCCCTCCTCCAGGGCCAGGGCCCCTCCTGGCCTCCTCTCACTGCTCCCACCTCTCTCTAGTTTGGTCTGAGAGCCCCCCAGGATGGAGAGGTTGCCCTGGGCTTTGTCCCACCCCTCACCCCAAACTCTGCCTGCCGGAGTGGGAATTGCTGGGCTCTTGTGCCATGCTCGCTGTGCCTTCCAGGCAAAGGAGAGTGGGAGCAGAGGTGGGTGCTGGCAGCCCCCCACTCCCCAGCCAGCCCCTCCCCGGGGCTCCTGCATCGCTCTGGATTGATCCTGATTGATTTTCCCCTCTCCTTCTGCTCCCAACTAACCCCCCCCTGCCCCGGCTTCCCCTTTTCTTCCTCCTCCTCCTCTTCCTCCTCCTCCTCCTCCCTGGAGCTCCTGCCTGCCCACGGCTGCAGCGCTTGTCCCCGTGCTGTCCCAGCTCTGTGTCCCGCTTGTCCCTGCCAGGCCTGGGGCCAGGAGCTCCACAGGGATCCCAGCTCCCTCTCCCAGGCTCTTCCCTGGGAGTTTTTTCCCCTGTGGAACAATGGTTGAGCTTTTCCCTGGGAATTTTTCCCCCCTCG